TCTATCACGCACGGCACCGAAGGAATGTTTACAATGATTAACCATTATTCCCTGGTGTATAGAAAATTAAATGTTAAGTTGTAACTCAACATTTTTTCTTTCCTTCTCTTGGACATGAGTAGAGGCTTACGCCTTGTTTCTTGTTTGGAAGGGCTTTCCAGTTCTCTCTCTCTCAATTCCTCTGTATCTCCAGTTGCCTTGATCTAATAACTCTCTTCTCCTCATCCTTTCTTCTATCACTCCTATCTGACCTTGCTCCAAATTTTCTGTAACCACTTGCGTCCTAGTGGCTTTCCGCCTTGCTTGGGGTGAAAAGCTTTAAAAAAAAAAAAAAATTAAGAGAGGAAAAAATATATTAATAGTAAAAGTTTTAAAAATATATTAATACTCTTAATACTTTTCTTTGACTATTCCAGTCAGTCATATGTTATGCGTGATACATGCTTAGGCGATCATGTATCTTTCGATACATTGCTGACGATTTCTTTCTGCGATAGACCAGTTGCCACCCAAGGGAGAAGAGGATTCATACCTTTCCCAAGGGTATTAGCAACGTGAGTGAATGTAATGGATTTGACTGGAATTCGAACTCGGTTCTCCGATTCCTCAATCCGAGCCGCTATCCATTTCTCCATCGTGTCTCCGACTATTCCATTAAGTTTTCCGAATTCTATCAGATGTTCCATCCGTCGTTACTCTTTTACACAGACAGTTACATTTCTGCACCTGCTTTATAATTACTTACACTGATAAACTTTACGTGTCAAGCATGCTTTTGCTAAATGGTCTATTAAACGAAGGCTCTTTGCCTCAAAATCATTTTGTACTTAACATTTTTAAATGACCAACTGACTGCTACTTAAGAACAGAAACTCAATCCTTAACTGTCAACTCGTATCTTCAATCAAACAGCTACACTGGCAAGTATTAATTATTATAATAATTATTTAATTGGTCTTAAGATATTTTTAATGATGTCCATTGGGAACGTAGAGCATGGAACTCCACAGATTCCTTTTCTTCAATATCTGTGAATTATTCTTGGAGAATATAGGGGAGTGATTTCTTATGGCCTTTCTAGGTTTTTGTGGTTTTTTTTTTTATTTTTTTTATTTTTTATTTTGTTTTTATTTTGTTTCTTTTTTTGTTTTTATTGTTTTTTTTTTGTTTTGATTTTGTTTTTTTTATTTTGATTTTTGATATTTTTTTTGTATTTTGTTTTTTGGGGGGTTTTTTGTTTTGTTTTTGTTTTGCTTTTTTTTTTATTTCTCCTAGAATGCTTTCTCCTCGAAGCTATCTGTGGAATAAAGTCATGCCTTTCTCAAGAACATCAGTGCGAAAAGTGAACGCAGCAGACGTAACTAGAATTTGAATTCAATTCGGATATTCCACTTTCTTTGTTATCTGTGAATTGCCATGACTTTCCGGGGGAGAAAACGGTGACTGGCTTCCTCGGTGCCTTCTCCATTCTTTTCAATTCAGAGATGTCCCTCTTTTGAGACTAACTGCCACCCAGTCTAGTGTGCTATTTAACCCATAGTTGGAGGGAGAATAGGTGGATCCATGCCGTTTCTAAGGATATAACGCGAACCAAGCAGATTAGAAGTTTAACTAAGCAGACAAAAAGTGAAAGGAAAAGAAATTGTATAAATTAAATTAAAACCTTTTTTCTGTCTGTCTCTGAGATGAGGCATTATGATTACTTGTATTATTTACATTATTCGGACTGTTATCCTCATCTTCATTGTCATATTCATAACGTTTCGGCCGTCGTTCGCTTCGGTCTTCTTCAAGTGATTGGAATTTCGAACCGAAATCTTTATTTTGCCCACCGGGGTAGTTTGTTCTAGTTCTTCCTGGCCCAGTGGATAACGACGTTGATTAGATTCAGTGATTAGACTGAAAGAGTTGTGAATTCAATATCAGGCCACAGTAGTGACGAATAAAAAAAAACAAACTTGGAGAGTTGAGTTAAAGGCAAATAACTCAGACATCCCGAACAGGCATGGCACGTGGAACTAGAAAAATCTACCCCGTGGACGAAATAAAGGGTTCGGGTCGAAATTCCAATCACCTGAAGACGGCCGGAGCGTACAACGGCCGAAACATTGTGAATATGGCAATGAAGATAAGGATAACTATCCGAATAATGTAAATAATGTAAGCAAAACCTTTTTATCATTTTTTTTAAAATGCATTTTCCTTTGGCAATATTAATTCTCCATATATTCCTTCTCCTTATTTGGCTTACGGTCACATCACGAAGAAAGAACCGGTTTATAATTGCTCACCGAAGTTAAGCAACGTAGAGCTTGGTCAGTACCTAGATGGGTGACTACTTGGGAATATCAGGTGCGGTGTGCCCTTTTCGAAGCAGATCTATGGACGTTTATATAAGCAGATGGAAAATCAACCAAAAGGAAATAGATCAATTAATTTTGTCCATTCTCCGATGTCATCCTAACATACCTAAAGAGGAAATACGACATTTTCGCGACTAGCTGGAGGTTTTAGACGGTTAAACGTCCTTGCTACATTAATAACAAACATGCTTTCCTTCACCACATTGCCAAGCCGCGGCTATTACATTTACATGCATACATACATGTATACATATATATTTATAATCTCCTGGAGTCTATTTCTCTCTCGGTTGCGGCATTAACACGTTGAAAACACCAGTTCCCATACGATCACCAAAGTTAAGCAACGTCGAGCCTGGTTAGTACCTAGATGGGAGGTCGCTGGGGAATACCGGGCGCTGTAAACTTGGAGGTGTAGGTGGTGTAATCGATAACGGCTTCAAATTCGTTCCAATTCCCATTGCGTTCGTTATATTCACTTACCCTTTAGAAAGGCATGAACCTACCACTTCTCACCCCATCTATGGGTTAATTAGTAAAACTTGTATCACTAAACAATCTTTTCCACAAAAAAAATTCTTACAATCTAAAAATATTTTCAGGTTGTAAATAATCTACACTGGGATGATAAACCGTAAAAAACTAATCAATCAATTAATCTTTATCTGTGACCTGTCATGGAAAATATATTTAAGGGATTTTCCGTTATCTTCATCTCTGCTTTAAATCCTTTTTTTACCTTGTCCATCTATCCTGCTATTTAACTCATGGAAGAAAAAAAAATGGATTCCTACCTTTCCCAAGACCATTTGTAAGAAAATGAACGTAAGTGTTTCGGATTGAAATTTGGCCTACCGATTTTAAGGCTATCTTGCTAAATAAGTGAGGGAGAAGAGACTAATTCATGTCTTTCTCCTAGAGCATTAGTACGCAAGCAAATGCAACAGACTAGTTCAGGGGCTTTCAGACTGTGGTCCGCGGACCACAGGGGTGTCCGCAAGGACAAGATAGGGGGTCCGTGGACAGCAAACACTTTTTTTTATGGGTGACGTGCAACTTATAAGCGCTTATAAGTAACTTATAGGCCGATCATGAAATAAATTGATTCAATAAACTATTTCATAGATTTGGTATACTAATATAATTTATATCTTAAATTGATAAAGATAATGGATTCTATTCATGCAGAGAAGGAACCAAAGGATTTGAATTTTGGATCTATTTTGCGATTTCCGGCTTTCTCAGTGGCTGTTAGGCATTTGCATTCATGCAAAATTATATGTTATATTCAGCAAATATTTATGTATAAATTTCATAAGCATTTATAAGGGGTCTCTAAGGTAAAGCCTGAAATATAAAGGGGTCCACAAGTCAAAAAGTTTGAAAAAATTTGGACTAGTTGGTCGGATCTCTAATTCCCAGACTAAGGAATCAGGTGTACTTTGCTATTTAATCCATACTAGCGGGAGAATTTATTCATTAGTACCTTTTAGTTCTGGGTATGACGATAAACTACATCCGGCAGCAAGACCACTGATCGGTAGGTTTTCAGGAGCTTGGAATCACCTTCTAATAGCTGTTTGCTCCCAGGTCCTCCCTGACCCGAGGTGGTAGCACCTGTTAGGGGGGTCCCACCTATGGGAAAATAGTGAACTCCCTAAATAAAATACTATGAATGTATAAAAATACCAGTCATACATTTTATATAAAAAAATTACCAATAATACGTATTTATAGCAAAATTACCAACTATACGCACATACTAACAAATTATTGCGACTTAACCCAAATCTGTTTAAAATACTATCAACCCACCAATATAAAAGAACTCTTTCATGGCATTAATTCATATAATATCCTACAATTTCTTAAACCAAACTGTATTCCAAAATATAATTTCACTATAACATAAAAACTACATCATCGGTTCTAGTAATTATGTCCACACAAACCTGTAGATGGACAAAAGCTGAGTATCATCTACCATGTATTCAATTGTGAAAGCAGAATAATATTTTTATTAATTTCAAATCCCTAAGAACATCAAATTTAGGCATTGAATGACCCATAAGGTGTTAATACGCCGCCAAACAAACAAATCGATTAATTCCTTTTCAAAAGTCCTCTGTTCTGGGTATGACGATAAACTATATCCGCGTCCTGGATGAGACGATAAACTACGTCCAACAACAAGGTGGTTTTGAAGAGCAAGGAACTATCTATTAATTGCTGGTTTTCCCAGGTTCACTCAGGGTGGCAGCAACTGTTAGGGTCTCAACTATGGGCATATAGTTAACCCCCAAACTAAGGTCAAAACACTATGAAAATGTAAAAATAGGTTTTAATACCAGCAATAAATTTTTGAAGGAAAAAGTATTACCAGAAATACATTATTACCAACAATACATTTTTCAAGAAAAAAAAATATTACCAGCAATATATTTTAGAAAAAAAATACTACCAGCAATAAAAATCTTATTGGCATTGAATAAGCCATTGAGGTTGATATGCCGTAAGACAAACCAAATCAAACCAATTCATTTGGGAGGAAAATGAATATATCAGATTAGTCTGTAATTTGAACTCGGCTCTTGTATTGCAAATTCTATGTTTATCGCCATTACGCTAGCTAAGCATCCACTTATTAGAGAACACGTAGTGGAAATTCATGATCGCCTACGCGCTGAGGAGATTCTATTAATTCTGACAATGGAAATGACATCAGCCGATGATGCATTTTCATTGTTCGCTAAGAGTTTTTATATATAAATAATGTGCAAATTCTGAGTCCGCCTATTTTGAATTATTCGTTAAAAAATGGCTAAAATATGATATAATGGAAGAAAATCGGGTGATTTTTATTCCAGCTAAATCCTAAGATTAAATCCTGACTGGCCAGTAAGACCGAAACAATATCCTTCCTAAAAAGTCAACAGGGAGAAATGAACACTGCATTGGAACGGGACGTTAGTGGCCAGCTTTCCATGGAGTAGACTAGAAAAAAAAAAAAAAAAAAAAACAGACGACATATTTATTGTCGGCCATCTTACAAAATGTGACAGCCTCACTTAATATATTATTAAATAAATATGGCGACGTTAGTTTTTCTACAGCGGCTGAGTGCTGTCCTCTCCCGTGTCTTCCGAGTTAATCTGTCACCTTGTTTTTCTTTTCTTTTCTTTTTTTTATTTTGTAAGGAATATAAATTGTTCTACGCCACAAACTTAATGGTTTCATTACTGAATAAATATAAATTGTGCCGGGGATATGCAAGTCAGCTTACCACTCTTGTTGCTAACCTATCAAATCATAAACATTTCGAATGGCGAGTTAACTCTCTAACTTCCATATACAATAAATCACTTTATTCGTCATTGATATTAAACTACACTGTGTATACACTTGTTGGGGTCTTCACGTCTATCAAGAATTCCTGCACGCAAATTGTCTGCTGACCAGTTACATCCACTCCTCGCTTAACGACTTCGGACTTACGACCAGCTATAAAATTTCAGAAAATAAATATATATATATATATATATATATATATATAACCAGTCGGTACATTTTGCGAAAACTTTGGTCGGGTAAATTTTCTCATTCCTCGAAATGAATAAAAAATATTATTTGTTCTGTATTTACAATATGATAACCGAAATAATGTACAGAACATAGGGCTGATTTTCAAATCTGTTTATTACGTTTAATGGGAAAACCATTACGTTTAATGGTAAAATCATTACGCTTAATCATTAATTATGCTTAAAGGTAAAATCTTCACGCTTAATCGTTACGTTTAATGGTTAATTACGTTTAATGGGGAAATCATTATGTTTATGGTTAATTAGCTTTAATGGGGAAATAATTATGCTTAATGGTTAATTACGTTTAATGGGAAAATCATTACGTTTAATGGGAAAATAGCCTAGTGAATTAAAACGATGGTGTTTGAATTTGGCGGCATAGTAGTTTTGCGTTCAATTCCCGGGCTTACTTGGACTCGGAAATAGGAATACAAAATACTAAATAAGAACTAGACGATATATCCTGAGACGTGGTCAGTGGAACGAGAACAGTCTGTCCACGTAAATTAAATAACTACTTCGGTTCGAAATTCCCTGTAGGTTACTCGGATCGACAGAATTGGAGTACAACAGCTTCACTTTTTTTTTGTCTTGTAAGGATCGGATATCAATAGCTTCACTTTTTTTTGTCTTGTAAGGATCGGATATCAATAGCTTCAATTTTTTTTTGTCTTTAATGATCGGATATCAATTTTTTTTGTCTTGTAAGGATCGGATATCAATAGCTTCACTTTTTTTTGTCTTGTAAGGATCGGATATCAATAGCTTCACTTTTTTTTGTCTTGTAAGGATCGGATATCAATAGCTTCACTTTTTTTTGTCTTGTAAGGATCGGATATCAATAGCTTCACTTTTTTTTGTCTTGTAAGGATCGGATATCAATAGCTTCACTTTTTTTTGTCTTTTTTGCTTCAATGTTTTTTTTTTTTTTTTTGTAAGGATCGGATATCAATAGCTTCACTTTTTTTGTCAGGATCGGATATCAATAGCTTCACTTTTTTTTGTCTTGTAAGGATCGGATATCAATAGCTTCACTTTTTTTTTGTCTTGTAAGGATCGGATATCAATAGCTTCACTTTTTTTTTTTTGTCTTGTAAGGATCGGATATCAATAGGATCGGATTCACTTTTTTTGTCTTGTAAGGATCGGATATCAATAGCTTCACTTTTTTTGTCTTGTAAGGATCGGATATCAATAGCTTGCTTTTTTTTTTTTGTCTTGTAAGGATCGGATATCAATAGCTTCTGCTTTTTTTTTGTCTTGTAAGGATCGGATATCAATAGCACTTTTTTTTTTGTCTTAAAAGGATCGGATATCAATAGCTTCACTTTTTTTTTGTCTTGTAAGGATCGGATATCAATAGCTTCACTTTTTTTTTGTCTTGTAAGGATCGGATATCAATAGCTTCACTTTTTTTTGTCTTGTAAGGATCGGATATCAATAGCTTCACTTTTTGTGTTTTTTAGTCTTTTTGTGTCTTGTAAGGATCGGATATCAATAGCTTCACTTTTTTGTGTCTTGTAAGGATCGGATATCAATAGCTTCACTTTTTTGTGTCTTGTAAGGATCGGATATCAATAGCTTCACTTTTTTGTGTCTTGTAATGAGCTCAATAACGACTCTTGTCATATCGGGATAAGAGTACAACGGCTTTTTTTGTCTTGTCAGAATCGGAGCTCAAAAAATGTTGTTTTTTGTCTGTCACAGGATTAGTGTCCAATTTTCTTTGTCAGCTTTGGTTTTTGTTAGGATCGGAATCCAGCGCTTTCTTCTTGTCAGAATCGTTTGCAACGCACTGGCTGAGGAATACCCTGAGGTCCAAAAGTATTAGCCGGAATATCATCCTCAAAATTCAGCATTACCATTAAGATGCCGGTGTGGACACTACAAACAGATGTTGCTTTTAGCCACAGTACAATGCACACATCTTTTACACCTGATAACTTATTCGAATATAAACGAGCAGCCCTTGCGAAATCGCATGAATTGTTTAATCAATTCACACGCTTCGCCACTTCGAATGTGATAAAAAAAAAGTCATGTCTTATTTATATATTTTTTTTTTACTCGTTTTGGACTGGGAAGAACGTTCTTTACGTGGGTGCTTCTGCTGCATGGTCATGTCCGAGTGAATAAATCACGTTCTCTGCCTGGCAAATACACAGTGCTTGTGCAGGGACACAAAATATGCACAAATATATGCGACCAGACAGAGCTTGAGAGATAACATCGACAGAGCATAGCATCATCAACAAAAACTCTCACTATCATCATCAGTCTGGTAACTGGGTGTGGTCGTACTGTCACTGGGCACCTGACCAATCCCCTCTACATATCAGTGTTGAAAGCCAGAGCGGTATTCGTTTGTGCGCAGCGCGTCCTGAGCAAGTAAACCTGGCGGAGCCCGTCGCTCTGTAGGTCAAATCACAAAGCACAGGATATCCTCAAACTTGAAGGTTCACCTTCGTTACGGACACCTAGTCAAGAGTCACGGTGGAGTAATGGCTAGCGGCTCGGATTGAGGAATCGGTCGATTTCGAATTCCAGTCGAATCCATTACATTCTCTTAACTTGGGAAAGGTATTAATCCCCCCAAGCTATGGATAAATAGCAGGACAGACCGAGTTTTATAGCCTTGGATGGCAACTGGTCTACCACAGAAAGAAATGGCAAATTACTGCGGGAAAAAATCTGACTCGTCAGTCATGTATCGAAACATACATGATCACCTAAGCGGGTATCCCGCATGGCACATAACTGACTGGCCGTTGATTCCAGATGATTCAGTCCGCTTTGCTATTTGACTTCCGTCGATGGGGTGTCGTGATCGCGCTGTCCGCGTGCCCCGTCTATCCCATTGTGCTATATGGCTATGAAGTTTCATTTGCCCTTTTCACATGTCTTGCTGATCCTGGGAATGACGATAAACTACATCCGGCAGCAAAACCTGTCATCGGGAGATTGGAGGTATTCAGAAGCGTAGAAACACCCCTTGATTGCAGTTGTTCCCAGGCCCACCCTGACAGGAGTGATAGAACCTCTTAGGGTCCCATCTATGGGCAAATAGTGAATTTCCAAACAAAACATCACTATAAATATATAAAAATGCATATTTATAGTGAAATTACCAACGATATATTTTATAATGAAATGGCCAACTAGACAAATTTATAGTGAATCGACCAAGAATACATTTTTATAATGAAACGTCCAAGAATACATATTTTAAAATTGTAGTTCAATATAACGTGTTCTAACCCAAACACCCCCTTTTAGAATGAATCTTTAAGTATGCAAGTACCAATTTAACGGAAAAAATGCCGAAAAACTTTTTGTTGTTAATAATAAAAAAAAAAACACAAACAGACGACATGCATTTAACGGATGTCAAAATTTGTTGAAAAATGCACCCCTGCCCTCCCTAAACTTAACCTCTTTTTCGAACGTAACTCATAATTGATACAACAATAGTTAATAAAAATGGACACGTTACCGCCCCTGCCTAAATGAATGGATTCCTCTGTATCCTTGGTAACAAGAAATTATGAATTATATGTGCGTTTAAAACTCAGTAAATTTAAAAATAAGTTATTCCAAAATTCGCTTGAAGATGAAACAGAAATAATGCTTTTAATTTAATTTTATAATTAAATTTGAAGTTTTTAGCTTCGGTTTTTGAAACATGGAAATTCCTGCGTAGCGAAGAAACCATATTTTAAATCAGTTAATTTATAATAAGTTTTAAGGCATGCTATATTTATGGGTTAAAGTGCTCAATATCACGGACAGAGCGTATGTTGACAGGGTTTGGTATGCTTGCCTTCGAAGCTACAGTATGACAGGACGATTATATGTTTTAATCCAATCCTTCCTATCAAATCATGAAATGAAGGTCGTCCTGAACGGGTTTTCTTTCAGTTCCTTTCATACGAACGCGGGTGTTCTCCACACCTCTCTCCTGGGTCCTACACGTTTCTGATCTTCAATGTTTTCTCTGCTGTCGTCAGCTCTCAAGAGGCATCTATGCAGACAACACTACCATTTACTTCTGTCTCAATAGTAAATCCGGCAATGCTGACAAAGCTAACCTGGCCGTTGGTCTCGGAAAGGAATTCCAGTCTGTGGTTAACTGGGGCAAGAAATGGCTTATAAATTTTGATGCTTCCAAAACGAAACTGCTGTCATTTAACCACCATAGAAAAAACTTCCCTGCTCCCTATCAGTATGGTTTATGCTCGACTTTCCATGCGCCTTCTTCGCCTCAAGTTTTCCACTGACCGGAGGCAAACTACTACATTGAATCAATAGCTGCATCTATTGCAAGGAAAGTTGCTTCTCTGTGTCGTTCCAGAATATTTTTCTCTTCTGAGTCCATCCTATACATCTGAAAATCTACCATTCTCCCTTGCGTTGAATACTGTTGCCATATATGGTCTGGTACCCCCGCTGTTCATCTCGAAGTCTTCCAACATATCCAAAGAAGGATCTGCAATGTAGTCGGTCCTGACCTGGCATCTCGACTCCAGTCACTTTCTCACAGACGTAACATGGCTTCCCTCAGTCTATTCTACAAATACTGCTGTGACGAGCTGGTAATATTTTGTTTTGTCAAAAATCTATTTCTTCTAATTTTTTTTCCTTCAAAAATGTATTGCTGGTAATATTTATTTATTTATTATTTTTTTTTTCCAAAAATTTATTGCTAGAGAAAAATTTTTTACGATGTATTTCTGGTATTAAAGCCTATTTTTACACTTTCATAGTGTTTTTACCCCAGTTTCAGTATTAACTATTTGCCTATAGCTGGGACTCTAACAGGTGCTACCACTCCGGGTCAGGGTGGACCTGGGAACAACTGCAATTAAGCGGTTGTTCCACGCTCCTCAAAACCTCCTGATCAGAGGCCTTGCAGTTGGACACAGTTTATCATCTTACCCTAGACGCGGATGTAGTTTGTCATACCCGGGACGGTCGAAATCGAATAGCAACAATCATATATATGTGCGCGTGCATATATATTATATTATATATATGATGAATTATATGAAAATTTATCTAATGGTGAAACGCTTTAAATTATCTCTGCTACAAGTGAGCTTTGGGATTTTGAATAAAAATAAATACAGTTTCCCTGGTATTAATAGATTTGTTGTGTTTCGTTTAACGCCCAATTTCTCTGTGATAAGGAGGCAGGGGTATAAAAGTTTATATCTGAGGCAGATAGATATGAAGGAAATGAGAGATAGATGAGAATAGGTAGACGTAGACAGTGAGATAGACATCGAGATGTAAACGTTGAGATAGGCGTAAACAATTAAATAGATGTAAACCGTGAGATAGATAGACGTAAACAGTGAGATAGAGATATATAGACGTAAACAGTCTGATAGGTAGATAGATAGATACGTAGACGTGGACAGATAGATAGATAGGCGTAAACAGTGAGAGAGATAGATACATAGATAGATAGGCGTAAACAGTGAGAGAGATAGATACATAGATAGATAGGCGTAAACAGTGAGAGAGATAGATACATAGATAGATAGGCGTAAACAGTGAGATAGATAGATAGATAGGCGTAAACAGTGAGATAGATAGATAGATAGGCGTAAACAGTGAGATAGATAGATAGATAGGCGTAAACAGTGAGATAGATAGATAGATAGGCGTAAACAGTGAGATAGATAGATGAATGAGGCGTAAACAGTGAGATAGATAGATAGATAGGCGTAAACGGTGAGATAGATAGATAGGCGTAAACGGTGAGATAGATAGATACATAGATAGATAGGCGTAAACGGTGAGATAGATAGATACATAGATAGATAGGCGTAAACGGTGAGATAGATAGATAGATAGATAGATAGGCGTAAACGGTGAGATAGATAGATAGGCGTAAACGGTGAGATAGATAGATACATAGATAGATAGGCGTAAAAGGATAGATAGATGGATAGATGATAGGCGTAAACGAGATAGATAGATACATAGATAGATAGGCGTAAACGGTGAGATAGATAGATACATAGATAGATAGGCGTAAATGGTGAGATAGATACATAGATAGATAGGCGTAAACGGTGAGATAGATAGATAGATAGATACATAGATAGATAGGCGTAAACGGTGAGATAGATAGATAGATAGATACATAGATAGATAGGCGTAAACGGTGAGATAGATAGATAGATAGATACATAGATAGATAGGCGTAAACGGTGAGATAGATAGATACATAGATAGATAGGCGTAAACGGTGATATAGATAGATAGACGTAAACAGTGTAATTCTAACTCCTTGATAGAATCTGTTATTCTATGATTCAGTTTCCTAATGATCGACATGTTTTCATTTTTGTTTTCTGCTAATTTCGCCATCTGCGTCTGTTGGCAATCGTCATATGACAGAAAATGAAAATAACACCGATAAAATCATTTAGAATATCTCAAAAAAAACTCATTCTGATAGTCTCGCGTGAAAATGTCTTTTCTCATCTCGGAAACAAGTGTAGGTAAATAAAAAGGACATCTTTTATTAAAAGGGCGAAAACAAGATGAAAAAGAAACCGGTTTTTGAAATTTTCTTGAAGCACTTTTGTCACTCTTCCATACCAGATACAGAATTCTTTCTCCTCACTCTCGACGAAACACATTTTTATTATTATTTTTTATTATCATTTTTTTTATTTTTTATTTTATATTATTTTATTTTATTTTTTTTTTTTTTTTTTTTTTTTTTACTGCCATCGAAGCATATTTAATGTTACCAAGTGATTCTTTTGACGAAAGATACGAAAATAAACAGAGGTGAATATTTTTTCCTTCCGGTCTGCTGGTCGCCATCTTGCTTTTATTCGCGCGAATATTTGGACGTAACCGCTGAACTTGAAATGTTCGGATTTTGGGCTGTGAGCCAGACATTGGAAAAAAAGACAGCTGTACCAACTGACACACACATACGTTTGTGCGTATATACAAGCGTGTGTTGTTTTTTTTTCCATGTACCTAAAATATGTATTTCTATGTGGGTTTTTTTGTTTTGTTTTTTAGATAGGGATATTTGAGTAACGCTTTTTAATTTGTATATATATATATATATATATCGTACAATACGACAGAAAAGTAATATTTTAACTTTTATGTTGTATCTCTTGTCTTTGTTCAAAGGAACAAATACTTGAAGCAGAAGCTATCTGTATTTTTTATTGTCATTTCTAGCGCTTTTCTTACTGGTTCTCGTGTGATCACCAAAGTTAAGCCACATTGAGCCTGGTAACTTAGATGGCTAACTGCTTGGGAATACAAGGTGTTGTAAATTTGAATGTGCGGGTGGTGTAATGGATAACGACTGTAAATTGGAAATCGGAGAGCTAAGTTCCATTTCCAGTCGGTTTGGTTTGGTTTGGTTTGTTTTATGGCATATCAACCTCCATGGGTCATTTAATGCCGACAAGATTTTTATTGCTGGTAATATTTTAAAAAAATTGTATTGCTGGTAATAATTTTTTGCTTCAAAAATTAATCGCTGGTAATAACCTTTTTGTAAAAAGTACTGCTGGAATTAAAACCTATTTTTATACTTTCATATTGTTTTGACCCCAGTTTGGGTGATCAACTATTTGCCCATAGCTGGGTCCCTAACAGGTACTACCACCTCGTGTCAGGACTTGGGAACAACAGCAATGAGGAGGTTGTTCCACACACCTCAAAGCCTTCTGGTAATATTTTTGTTTTGTCAAAAATCTATTTCTGATAATATCTTTTAGAACAAAAAAAAAACGTCTAGCTGATAATATTATTTTTTCAAAAACGTATTATCAGGCCTTGCTGTTGGACGTAGTATATCGTTATACACAGGACGTGGATGTAGTTTGTCGTCTTACACAGGGCGCGGATGTAGTTTGTCGTCTTACCCAGCACGCGGATGTAGTTTATCGTCTTCCCCAGAACACAATTCCAGTTGGGTTTTTTATCACTTATGCGCTTTCAGAAAGGTATGAATCCACCGCTACTCCCTTCCGTCAAAATGGCTAAAAGTCTTGAACAGACCATACTAAATGCAATGCTGAACGGAGTGAAAGTTTCAAGAAGCGTTCTTCATTATGAATTGATGGAATTGGGACAAGCTGTTACAGCGAGCAATAGGTTCGTTTGAATAACACAGTGGAAGAGATGATAATTTATTTTTCTGTGGAAGAAAAGTCAATCGGTGGTAACACCAGTCCTCAAGTTGCAAATGCGACGCAACAAGCGATTATCTTCACTGTCTTTGTTTTTTAATTCACTGATACAAGTTCTACGAAGAAATTTGATTCATACCTTTCCCAAAGGTACTTTTGCGTAAGGGAATATAGTGAGCCCAACTGAAATTGGAACTCGGCTCTCCGATTAACAATTCCGTGCCATTATCCACTACACCACGCGAGGCCAGCCGGAAAAAGATAAAAAGTTGATGCATTTTTGCATAAAATTTTCAATAATGTAGGTATCCAATTATGCAATATTTTTAAACAGCTAAACATTTTTTTTCAATACCTGTTTTCAAAGTGTCCGGATAATCGAAGAAATAATATTGATAACTCGGTTCTTTGACATCTGCCTATATTTCTGAAATGAGCTATTGTAACTATTTACACTATTGACATCATTCGGACAGTTGTCCTCATCTTGATTGCGTTATTCGCGACGTTTCGGCCGTTGTGCGTTTCCTGTTTAGGATTGGGATTCTGGGTCCTTTTAAGTCTTTATTCTTCCACTCCCAGTATCCTTTTGCGCCTTAGTGACATTATCGCCTTATATAGAGTGAATTGATTAAAAAAGGGATAAATTTTATTATAAATAATATAAATAACATAATTATGTCATTATTCAGATATTGTGTTATATAAAAAAAAAACTGTTCAGTTTTTAAGTAAAAAAGACTAATTTTTTTATTTTTCAAATTAAAACTGGTGATATTCTAATGATCAGTTGCCTCCCTTAACAAGGAAACTGAGATAACGCAATTGTCATATTCACGACGTTTCGGGCGTTGTACGCTCCAGCCTTCTTCAGGTGATTGGAATTTCGAACCGAAACTTTTTAGTGCACGGGGATAGATTGTTCTAATTCCATGTGTCATGTTGTTTTTGAATATCTCTGCTGTAGCCAGGTATTGAAACCACGACTCTGGGTCATTTTGGGGTTATTTCAACCAACGCTTTTATCCACTGGCATATAGATATATGTGAGATCAAGAAGAGAAGAGTATTCGTAAGGGTTACTGGGTGAAACGCGTGGAGAGGTCCACCACTTTTGTGAGAGTTTGGGTGATTAGGGTTTGGATGCCAGCGTGGTCAGTGACAGTGATTAAACGACCTGACATGGTGGGCGTTGAAGATTGTAAACAGGCGTAGATAGATGGCCTTATTTATATTATCAGAGATACTGTCTAGCACGTAACAGTCATGAGAAGAAAGGGAATGATAGAGAAGGAAGTGATAACTGGCTGAATTTAGTAGAGAAAGACTGAGGCACATGTGAGAGTGGTTTGAAAAATCAAAAAAGTTCACTGGCCAATGGGAGATTTTTCCCGAGCATAAACACCTAGGTCGTGCATATAAACACTACAATGCTTCCTAAAGAGAGCAAGATGACCAGAAATCGAGAATTCAGTGGAGGTGATTGAAGAATTAAGATTAGTTTCGTAAAGAGCTAGGATTTTCGGAAAGAGTTCGAAGAGGAACGACTCAACACTGCAGAATTTTGTACGAATATATCAGACAGTATAAATTTCAGTCTGCACTTTTCGTATCTCCCCGTCGATTCTGTAAATTTCTTATTCATTTCAATGTAACAGCCGTCGTATTTGTTTTTTCTCTGCTGCTGTTGAGAAAGGCAGAGGATTATAACATTCCAGAGATGTTCAACGGTTGTCAGGGGTATCTGACATTTTTAATTTCAGTTTGAGTCTTTCGTATCTTCCTCTCAGGGGTATCTGATATTTTTCATTTCAGTTTGTCTTTCGTATCTTCCTCTCAGGGATATCTGACATTTTTCATTTCAGTTTGAGTCTTTCGTATCTTCCTCTCAGGGATATCTGACATTTTTCATTTCAGTTTGAGTGGGTTGATAAGCCATAAAAAATGAATCCATGAATCGAAAATATCTTATGATGACCATAGTTGCACCTGCCGGAGGATAGCGCAATAGTCTTGTAATTGAAGAATTCATAGTGAATGTTTCCAAGAGTGTCACTATCGCGATCCAAACGCCTATCGTCCGGTTCATACACCTCCCCAATTTTCTTAACAGGAGTAGAGGTTTGTCCCCTGTTTTCTGCTTGTGATTGGAATGCCGGATCCTTCAACTCTGTACTTCTCACATCTCCACCTGAAATCTGAAGTTTTATTCATTAATGTTTTCCCTGCTCCCAATGATAGGTTCGCCTATCACCCCGTTCACACTCCTCCCCGCTCTTTTCTGCATAGGATTGAGTTTCCGGTTCCTTTCAAAGTCTATTCGAATCTACAGACCTAACGTCTTCGCCTGAACTCTGAAATTTTATTACCTAATTAAATCTTACCTCTTCAAGTCTAGTATTAGCTGCCTACATAATTTCAATATTAAATAAGCCAGCTAGGGTTGATATATGGAAAACTCACCCTGATCATCCTTATACGAAAAAATAATGTAAATAATGTACTGAATTTACTATTAAAAAATCTCGGAAAAACAGAAAAACGACCCTAGCCTATGTCTAATCCAGATGAGTCATGACACGTGGAACTAGAACATTCTACTCCCGGTGGACGAAATAAGGGGTTCGGTTCGGAATTCCAATCACCTGAAGATGGCCGGGGCGTACAACGACCGAAACGTTGTGAATATGGCAGTGAAGATGAGGATGAAAGTCCGAATACTATAAATAACGCAAGTAAATTTTATATACATTATTTACATTATTTCGACTATTGTCCTCATCTTTGTCGCCATATTTATCAGAACGTTTCGGCCATTGTATGCTCCGGCCTTCTTCAGGTGGTTGGAATTTCGAACTGAACCCTTTATTTCGCTCACGGTTCTACGTGCCATGTTTGATGGATGTCAGTTATCTTCTTCTAATATTTCCCTCTGAAAGAGTTCTTCACTGCCTTAACCGGGTATTGAACTCACACTCTTTGGGTCCTGTCACTGAATCTAACCAACGCCTTTATCCACTGTGCCATGTGTCCAACGTACAACAGCCGAAACGTTGTAATAAATATGTCGACAAAGATGAGGACAATAGTCCGAATAATGTAAATAATGTACATAATACCTCATCTCAGAAATATAGACACTCTAAATTTTATATATTTACTTAATTTCCAGGTTTTTGAGTTAACATCCTCGCGGTTTTGTATGTTAGATTAACTGCGTATTTATCAAATGCGTTTTCGTGAAAAGAGTCCACTGCGAATATATATAGAGGCACATACGTACTGCAATATGACATTCTTGCAAAACTGACACGAAATTAGTATTTGGTATGTGTCACAAGCACGTCCTTAATGATACGCTTTCTACATTAGCATATAGAGACTTTCTCTTCTTATGTCTTGTATGTATGGTTTGAATAAAACGTGAGGGAAAAAGAAAAGCCGTTATACAATTTTATTATAAGTCCTGTCCCCATATTTTAGCGTTGATGAATAACGACTGGAATGACATCAACGAGGCAAGTTGTTGTCGCGGTAAAATGCGAGAATATCGCAAAGGTAGGAATTAACTGTCAAACAAGCAGAAACTCTTCAAAACGTCATCGAGGGCATAATTACAGACGCAGGTGAGAAAATGCAAGCCTTTCGACACATTTTATTCACACCTAGGGAATATTATCAGTGTCAAATATAGGTTCTCTCCCATAATTATGTCTATTTTTTTTTCTTATTTTATATTTTTATTCCTTTTTAGTTTTTCTTTCTTTGTACTTCTTTTATTTTCATTTATATTCTCTCTTTTCTTGTTTTTATCGTCCTTCGTTAACTTTTTTCTTTCTTTCATTGTTTGCGATTCTTTTGTCTTGGCAATGTCTTCAATTATTTCTTTTTCTTTTTACTTTTTTTAAATATTTTTCTTCTTTCATTTTATGCTTTTTATTTTCCTTATCCATTTTGAATTTCTTCACGTTTCCATCTTTTTTCTTTCTTTTTTCTTACTCTTCTCTTTTTCTTCTCTTTCTTTTCTCTTTTTCTTTCTTTTCTCTTTCTTTTCTCTTTTTCTTTCTTTTCTCTTTTTTTTTTCTTTTTTTTTTCTTTCTCTTTTTTTTTTTTTTTTTTCTTTTTTTTTTTTTTCCTTTTTCTCTTCTCTTTTTTTTCCTATTTTTCTCTTCTCTTTTTTTTCCTATTTTTCTCTTCTCTTTTTTTTTCCTATTTCTTTCTTCTCTTTTTCTTCTCTTTTTCTTTCTTTTCTCTTTCTCTTCTCATTTTCTTTCTCTTCTTTTTCTTCTCTTCTCCTTTCTCTTTTTCTTTCTCTTCTCCTTTCTCTTCTCTTTTTCTCCTCCTTTTCTCACCTTTTTCGTTTTCCTTTCTCTTTTTCTCTCTTTCTTCTCTCCTTTTTTTCTTTCTCTTTTTCTCTCCTCTTGTCTTTTTCCTTTCTCTTCTATTTCTTATTTTCTTTTTCAATCTTCACTTTTAATTTATTATATGTCTTCTATTTTCATCGCCTTTTTATGATCGATGATTTACCTCCTCCCCTTTTGTTCTCCTCCTCCTCCTCTCATTTTGTTGTTGTTCTCTTTGGTTATTCTTCTTCTCCTCCTCTTTTGTTCTTCTCTTTCTCTCCCTTTTTTTCTTTTCCTCGTTTGCTGTTCTTTTGCAACCCCGTTTTCATTTTCTCCTTCTTCGTTTTTTTTTCCAATTTCTTTTCCTTCTCCGATTTCTTCTTTTCTTTGTCCGTTTTCTTCTTTTTCTCCTTCTTTCATTCATTATATTCTTTTTCTTCTTCTTTTGTATTCTCTGGCCTCTTATTCTTCTCCATTTTCTTTCTCCTTTTTAGCTTCCTTTTTTAGAATTCCTCCGTTTTTTTAATTTTTCTCTTCCTCCCACTTCTCTTTTCTTTCCCTCATTCATTTCCTTTTTTTCACTCCAGCTTCATTTTATCCTCTTTTTCTTTTCTACATATTTTCCTTCACCTTCATTCCGCCTTTTTCTTCTTTTTATTCTCAATCTTTCCCCCCCTCTCTTTCTCTCTCTCTCTTATCTAATCCCCTTTACGTTTTCTTTCCTTTTGCTTCTCGCTCTTTTTCTTATATTTTTTAACTTTGCATACCTTTTCTTACTTTCCCTTCTGTTTTAAATATTTTATCTCTTTCCCCGACTTTTTCTACTTATTCATCTTTTATCTCTTTACGTCAATCATAATTAATTCTTTTTTCTCCTTTTTCTCTCTTTCTTTTCCTTTTAAATACTTCATCGCATTTTCCGTTTGATTTTCGTCACCAAAAAAACTCTTTCCTACCGTAGTAGATAGACAAGCCGTCTAGTATAAGCATTATTCCCCCTGCTATAGATATAAGCCAGTTAAGTTGGCTATCTCGACATAGTATATATGTTTTACAAGCTTCTATTTAACTGCCTGCATACGGATAGAAAATGAATTCAGTATGAATAGGCATATACGACAATGGTGAGATACCGGAAGATCCATTTTCATATCGCTGCCTAAGAAGCCAGATGCAGACAAATTCGAATTCAATCAAACAATCAGCATAATGAACCTCGTGACAACACTGATGAATAGAGCGCGAGTCAGAACCAGACCGGAAATAGGACAATACACGGGAATAAAGAATGCTATATTTACGATCAGAATGAGATCTGTAAGAGCAATACACATCCACCTATTTTATAGATCGTGCAAGAGCGTTTGATAAGGTACATCCCAAAGAACTGTTTGAACTGCTAAGTCTTTTTTTAACAGTGGACGGAAAATGAGACACCAAAATCCAAAAGGTACACTAGCGAAAGATGTCTTCCAAAAGCTAAGCAAAGTATTAAGAAACATGAAAACTTTATTAGAAACAAAAAAAAGAGTACTGTACTGTTATGCAATATCGGTCCTCCTCTATGGCAGTGAATGCAGGAAAATCCCATTACGATCGATTGAACATGTTTTCGAGTAGATTGAAACAAAAAGGACACTCATAACTTCCATCAGAAAAAGAAAAAAACAGTTGGAATTTCTGGGGCACACCATGAGGAAAGAAGGCTTGGAAAATTTGACACTCACAGGACATATTGAAGGAAAGATGAACAGAGAAAAGCAGCACACAACCTACCTAACGAGCTTATACAAATGGTTGTCAGAACAGGGAGTAGGAGAGATAGCAAAAAGACCAACTTTACAAAGGACAGGAAATTTTAGAGAGTCATGATCGCCAACGTTCTGAGGGAACAGGGCATACAGAAGAAGTTGACCTGTACCCCAACACGAGCTGAAAAGAATAGTTTATATTTGTGTCTCTCCACAATTTCTTTTCCTTTGTAAAGTTAGTCTTTTTTTTTTTTAAATAAAGCACGAGGCACTATTAGACCGGACATATGTATTTTTATGGGCACAAGAAATGCTATATTTGTTATCCGAACGTGATATCTGAAAGCAACGCAAATTCAAAAGGAAGTATATCTATGTTTCATAGATTATGCAGAAGTATTTAAGGTAGTACTCAAAGAACTATTTGAACTGCTATGTAAACTTGTTTTATTTTAGAAGCATATGAGAACAATCTAAGAACTTATACTGGGCGTATACCACCAGCATACGAATAAAAAGAATTAAGTATACAAAAATAAAAATAGGCATGATATTTTTTCAAGCTTTACACCGATGTTATCCTAAGAGAACTGGTGATCCAAGCAGGTAGGCACAAACTTAACAATATATTCAGATGACGCTGATGGCAAACGCAAAAAAAAACAAACTGCCGGGCATCCTAAAGAATGTAGTAAAGGAAAGAGAGATGAAAGGACTAACTATCATTTGTAAGAAAAGAAAATGTATGATTGTCGACTGTAGTCAGGATCATTAATTCAATGCGAATTTCACGATCCTCTCTTTTGGCCGCATAGTATAGGCTTATTTTTTATTTTTGCCTACTTCATTCCTTTTTATTTGTACGCTGTAAAACATAGATAAACTCCCTTTTCAATTTGTATTACTTTCAGATGTTAAATATAGTGTCCCCGAAAATACATATTTCCGGTCTAATAGTGCCTCGTGTTTTATTTGTCCGAATTCGGATTATTAATTTGGTTAAGCTGATTGTACGATGGAGTTGTAACTTGCCTCTAAGGCAGAGCTATGAAGATGGATCTATGTTCTTCCGGTATTTCACCAGTGTCGTGTAGTTCATCTATTATTTGCTTTGTTATTGGCTGATATAAGGCTAAGAACGTAAGACACGTGGATGACTGTGTGTTACTAGAAGGCTTGTTCAAAACGATCACTTCGGATTTCACCAGTTTTGTAAAGGGAACAAACATTCTTGGAGAAAATTTAACATTGTTGAAAAATGAAATTGGAAACACTTCTACAAATTCAACAAATTTATTTATATTTTGAACATGTTCATAAACAAAGTAGTACGGTTACAAATATCGAAATGAAAATATCACCAATTTGCTTGATCCAAATTTAAAATTCTTTTTCATTTGTGCGTGTGCTGATAGAGTTCCCTTGTTTTGTGCATGTAAACTTTTAATACGCGAGTTTATGCTTACGTTGAAAGTGCGTGTGTATTTGCCAGCATTAACAGTAACAACCGTAATACAGCAACGGGTAAATTCGACTGTAAAAGATTTAAATCAGGGTTTCCCAACCTGGGTAATATCGCCCAAAGGTGGGTGATGAGCAACTGAAAAAAAACGGGTGGGTGATATAGGATTTTGAGTATTAAAAAGGTATTTCAAAATATATAAATAAGGAAACATGCAACCCCCCCTCCCAAAAAAAAAACTGTATATACCACCCACCAAAAAAAAGGAGCTTAAATAAGAATAACTGGGTTATATTCTTATATAAATATCCCACGCAAACAACGAATATTTCGGTATTTCTATAATTTTGAGGACGGTCATTCACATTCAAGTAGTTCTTCAGACCAACTAACATTTCTCAAAACTTTCCTCTTTTAAAACCTAATTCTAAAAGCTTTTCTACCTTAAAACGTAATTCTAAAAGCTATTCTACTTTAAAACCTAATTCCAAAAGCTTTTCTATCTTAATACCAAAACCATTCCTAACTTTAAAAAAATCTTTTTGTGGGGTATAAACGATATAATGGAAGAGAAAGAACAATAAAAAAAATATTCGTTAATTTTTTATTCTTTGCTCGTAGTGTATAGTCTTTTTAATTTCATAATTATGAGCAAAAATAATTTACTTTTGTCAACACTTTCAACGTTAACCATAAAACTAAATTTTACACACACACACTATATATATATATATATATATATATATATATATATATATCACTTAGTAGCGAGGAGTGTTTGATTGAATTGAACCTTTTAAAACCCTTTATTCTACATTCAACACCATCACTTGATAAGACACCAGAAGTGTTGAAACAAAATGGCTATTTTTGTAGTGATTTTATAACATATTTATGTTATAATTTTCGAATAAATGATTATATTTGCTCTACTCTGTATTGAGCACTCTTTTAAGAATAGTATTTTTGGTTATTGGAATATATTCCGTATACACCAATCCTATCCGTGTGTGTGTAATATATATATATATATATATATATATATGGGTGTGATTTCGTTTGTTCTTTAATACGATAGTAGCAGCAACCGCTTAAATCAGCGTTATTTCTTTTGGTATTTTTTTACTATATCATAAAGTTAGTTTATGAGCCCGTAACAAACTTTTACCAAGCATTTCTCGTACATTTTTGAATATTTACCCTACAAGTGGGCGGTAGAAAATTTTTTCATGTGAAAATTAAAAAGTTTGCGAACCCCTGATATAAAAATTGTGTAGTGATTTTTATTTGAAGTCGTGTGGGGTATCTACATATTGATTTTACCATTATTTCCTCTTCAAGTTACAAATGTTATTCATTTTAGCTGTTGCTGCTGTTGGAAGTCTCGAATTGATGTGGTTTCTGTTATTTGGTACAGTTCTTTGTAATTCTGTGGTGCCAGGTCACAAGGGTTGAATTTTAACCTTGGATTTTAAAAAGCAGTTGTATATAGCTGCCAGGTTAGATGATTTTGAAGAGTTTTTGTTTTACAGCATATCAACCTTAATGGGTTATTTAATGTCGACAAGATTTTTATTGCTGGTAATATTTTTTTAAAAATTGTATTGCTGGTAATAATTTTTTTTTGCTTCAAAAATTAATCGCTGGTAATAACCTTTTTGTAAAAGGTACTGCTGGAATTAAAACCTATTTTTATACTTTCATATGGATTTTGACCCCAATTTGGGGATCAACTATTTGCCCATAATATTTAACAGGTGCTACTACCTCGGGTCAGGACTTGGGAAGAACAGCAATGAGGAGGTTGTTCCACACAGCTCAAAGCCTTCTGGTCAAAGGCCTTACTGTTGGATGTAGTTTATCGTCTTACCCAGGAACGGTTTCTGAGAGGGTTTGGCGCTATGCATGATATCCATATAAAAGTCTTGATCTTACGAGACTATTTAAGCACATCACTCTAGTTTTCATGATAAAGTTTTAGTTTTTTAATTTGCATGTTTTTGTTGAAACTATTCTAGCGCAGCCTTTTCTATTTCAGTTTGTCTTGTCTTTGTACGGATTTATTTTAATGGTTAATACGCCGGAGTATTTGAAGTGTTTATTATTTACTAATTTCAATACTGAAATTTTATGATATTTTTAAACTAGGTACCATTTTCATATCAATTTCATAATCATAGAAAATTTTTGGAAAGGTTGTTTTTTTTTGACTCCTATTTCTTGGAACACTTGATAGAGGATGCTGATTATCTGTTCACGATCCTTCTTATCCCAAATATGAATACCTATGTCATCAGCAGCACTGTAAATCGGTAATTGGATTTTTAGAACAAAAGATATAAACATATTTTAAAGCATTATAAATGAAAATACAATATTGGAACAAGTAATACAGGGTGCTAGAGAAAAGCAACAAATTTTAATATGAGCCCTGGTAAAAAAAATGTTTACCGAGACATTAGGTTTATAGGTCCCAAAAGTTCAATACCTGGCCCCAGCAGATGTGAACTGAAGCTTGGAGAGTTCAGTTAAAGACAAACTTCTCATCAACGGACTAATGGATGGGCGGTCCGTTAAAGAC